CCAAGCATCCCGACCGTGCTGCTGCTGGAGCAGCACCCGCTGCAGCCCACGGTGAATTCTGGGAGGTTTTTTGGGAATGGGGCTCCCTGATGGAAAGGAAAAGCTCAGCCACGTGTTGGTTCTGAGCGAACCCCAGAGCCAAACCCCATGGATACAGTGGGATGTGCAGGGCAGGGGCTGCCAGGCTTTCCCATGGACTCTCCATCCATCCCTATGGATCATCCAGGCTCGTGGTGGGAAGGAGCTACTGGCCTCACCCCCAGCACTTCACTCTTGGAGGCCAGAGGGAATTTCTCCCCCCTAGGGACTGTTTAATCTGGAAAACCCCTGGATCCCTTGGAGCCAGGCCCTGGTTGTTCTGCAACCTCCAAAATACAGGATCCAGGAGGCTTTTTGCCTGGGAGATCAGAGCGAATGCTCGATCCCCCCGGAGCAGTGGCAGATTCCAAGGGAAGTGCAGCTCCGGCTGCAGCAGGCAGGGCCCCCCTGGCCTCCCTCCCCCGCCACGTTCCTGGTCCAAGGGCTCCGTCACGGCTCAATCCCATTGTTCTGCCGAGTTATCCGCCGGAACGCCGGCAGTGCCGCCCGGGCCTTTCCATCGGAGATTCAACGCCCTCCACACAAACCAGCCTCACTTCTAGCCACAGAGGCCAATTCCCACTTTCCCCAGCTGGAATTGCCTTGATAAACTTGTTACCAAGGTCTGGTTCCATAAATTCTGTGCTTTAGCGGGGAGTTGTGCTGTGGGAAGGGCCCATTTTCCTGGGAGAGCTCCGCCTCTGGCTTGCCCAGCTCTTTGCATGCAGCTCTGCTCACCTCCCTGCTTTTTGGGCAGTCAGGGAGCTGGGAACAGTGTCCTGTGCTCTATCAGGGATTTGGGAACAAGGTCCCATGCTCTGTCAGTCAGGGATTTGGGAACAAGGTCCCATGCTCTGTCAGTCAGGGATTTGGGAACGAGGTCCCATGCTCTGTCAGTCAGGGATTTGGGAACAGTGTCCTGTGCTCTGTCAGTCAGGGATTTGGGAACAAGGTCCCATGCTCTGTCAGTCAGGGATTTGGGAACAGTGTCCTGTGCTCTGTCAGTCAGGGNTCTGTCAGTCAGGGATTTGGGAACAGTGTCCTGTGCTCTGTCAGTCAGGGATTTGGGAACAGTGTCCTGTGCTCTGTCAGTCAGGGATTTGGGAAGAGCGCCCTGAGCTCTACCTTGTTTTGTCCCAGCGACGTTCCCTGGCAGCAGCACTGGGCACCCGGATCCCCTTGGAGCAGGGAGTGGGAACGACAGCAGCTGCCAGCCCTTCCCAAACATCTGCTGTCCCCCCTCCTGCGGGGGGACAAAGTGGGGGGTTTGGGAAAGTGTCCGGATTTGGTGGCTCCTGCCCTGGGAAAGCAGCCGGGAGCAGCTGGTGCCGGCCCGGGCGCGGGACCGGCTGGGGGAGGAGGTCTGGGAGCTTCCCGAGTGCCCAGCTCCAGGCTGGAGAGGGTTTGACTTTCCTGGGAAACTGTTCCCTAATTAACCCCCTGGAAACTGCCCTGGAAAAGCTGCTTTGGCCACCGACCCCCACCAGGTCAAGTTCTCCATTCCAGGGGTTTTCTGCAATAAATCCCTTTGCTGGTAGCGTTACCCACCTGGGAAAGGGAAACATGGAATTGTTATATATTCATATGGACCAGTGTTTAATATTCATGTGATATTATTGATCTATTTTTTTATATATTTATGTGGAAAACTCTGACTATTTCTGTGACATTTTTCATAATTTCCTGTGAAGTTTGATCAGGAATATTGGAGGAGACACTTTGCACATGGAGATGGAAAATTCTGAAATATTTCTGTAGTATTTTACCTATTTCCCTGTAAGTTTAGGCTCTGTTGAGGAGAGGTTTTGCACATTTACATATTTATTTTACATGTTTCTCTGTAAAATCCCTCAGGTCTCCCAGGCAGGGCCCCCCACGCTGCCCCTGTGCTGAGACCCTGCCAGAGTTAAATCCCGTGTTTCTCCCAGTTTTCTCCCAGTTCTCTCTCCGGCTTCCCATTGCCAGGAACATCATTTGTGCCATGGAATAATTCCTAGTTTTCCTTGATCGAGGCAATTCTGGAACACAAAAGCCTGGGAGCTGGTGCAGGTGGCTCTGGTGTCCAGGTTTCCCTTTGCCTCAGTATTTTGGGAATTCGTTGTCCCGGTGGTGATTTAAAAATGCCGCATCTTCCACCTGTCTTTTAAAATTCCTCAAATACCTGGGTTGGAGCTGAGGATTCCTGAATGGCTTTCCATTAAACCTCCCTGTCAAAGGAAAAACCAGGATCCTGCTTCTCCAGACAAAGGATTTCGGGGCTGTGATCCCTGATTTTCATCCGAGGAAGCTCAAAGCCTTCCCAGCGCGGAGCTGCGGCCGCTCCCGGGAGCGAACCCCGCGGCTCCAACGGCCCCCACCCCCCAGCTCCATCTGCCCCTGGATCCCGCATTCCTGCCGTGGCTTTTCCTACAGCTGCTGCTAAAAATAACGGAGGCACGCGGCTGCTGCGGCCCCAGCGCGGCTCCGGTTGCTGCCCCGG